TCCATGGCACTCCGCAGCACAGGGCAGATGGACTAGGCTGAGCATCTCAAGCAGCACTGTCCCCCTCACTGCCACATCCAGAATTATTTGTTCTGCAACTGCTGCTGTGCACCCTTACAGTATCAAACACCAGAGAAAGCAAATGCTCTCTTGAGCTTGCATTATTACTTCTGCTCAGAAAGCATAAGGAATGGAAAATAATCTTACCACCAGCACACACAAGTTTCTGCAGACAGCACGGGTGGTCTGTATATGGAATTGAGTGATAAATATGCTGGAATAACTGAAAGAGAGGAAAAACACACTAGTGCCCCAAAAAGATGAGTCTGGCCACCAGATATTAATCCACAAAACCTACAGTTGTCCCCAGGAGTTGATACACTTTTGGCTTTAAACAAAGCATGCACTGCTTGGATGGGAAAGGGGGACTTGTCCACAAAGAATTCCTGCTCCACTGATACAGTGGCCTGCTGCCTGGATCTAAAGATCCAAAGCCACATGGCACAGTTTGAAGTGCACCACTGCCCCTTATGCTAGACTGCCATAGTTTTTGGTGTGTTTAAGGATAAACTCAATAACTCCTTTCAGTACAAGTCTGTAGAGTCAAGTATGAGAAAGCACCAGCATGATGATTGCTCACACTGTCTCACCACAGCATCCTTGATCTCATGCAGCACGATAGGGATGTTCCTTACACAAGCACCTTCCTTGGGGCGGTACTCGCTCAATAGAAGAGTATTTATTTAACCACAAACCCATCTGCTTTGCATTCCCATTAAAGAAAATCTTATGCAAAAAGGTAAGAGCTTGGCTACAAGCCCTTGGCCCAAATACCCTCTTACCAGTCCTGTGCTGCTTGCCAGGTCATTGCTGTTTCTACTTCAGAGATCTGCAGCAGACAGACCGTGATAAATCCAAAGAACTTTGAAATTAAAAGAAAAACTTTAAGCCTAACAGTAGGAAGTGCTCTCCATGCTTCACTAATCTTGTCAAAATATACCGTGCAGACAATTACAGTTAATAAAAGTATTCTTAGGAAGCTTAACGACAACTTTGGAGTCAGGGTTTCTCTGCTTCAGGTAGACTGGAAATGAGGAAAAACATCAGGGAAGAAAATTTCTCTTGCTCTCCTTTAGCCCCCCCCCGACTCACAAACACAAAAAGGACTCCCAAGGGAAGCTTGCCCCATTCCAGATAGCAATTTGAGTGGTACAGATCTATCCACGAATATCAGCTTCTCTCTCTGCCTACCCACGGGAAATACCTTTACTACAAGCACCTGAGCTTGTAACCACAGAAAAGCATGACCCTGTTCTGCATTAGCTACTTAAAAGCGTTTGAGGTCTTTCTTTTGAAAGGAGTGAATAGACAAAGCTCTGCAGCTCCGAGAGGAACATCTGAAAAAACACTTGTGCTGTCACCACTCAACAAAAGCTAGAGATGTCCAATAAAATGGCACGCTCCTTCACTGTATTTTCCACCTATTACTGTATGTAACTCCCATGACTTAAAGCAGTGGCTCCCAGACAGGCTGATGAATAGTCTACGTAAGTATTTTTTAGCACATGTCTATTTTGACAAAAATCAGTCACATCCAAAATTATTTTGGTGAACAACTGACATCAAATAAATGATTTACAGGCTTAGAATTCATGTTTATTTTTAGGAATAAATGATCACAGAGAACCAGACTAACTAAGAATCTAAATGTGGGTACCTTCTTTTAGTACTTTTAAGGCACAATCAAATCCTCCTTGGGCCTCTCACAGACTCTCTATCCATCCAGCAAGGCTAAATGCAATTCCCATGGTACACCACACAACTTGAGCTCTTTTCAGAGATTTAAATGCATTCAGGCTCATCCATGACAAAGCTTTTCTAAAGAGCAAGTTCCATGTCTGAACCCAGCAATTACATTACCAATAGTTTCAGACATAGACAAACTTGCAAAATCCATCTCTAGACTACTGATGCCCCAAGCAGGAATGGTGTGTAGTATCCACCATGGCAGAGCAGCCAACACACAAAGAGCCTGGAGGTAACACTGCCATCAGGTTTACTGAGATAAGCATTTTCCAATTGTCTCACAACAATTAAAAATATCATTAAGTTAAATAATTATAAGAAGAGCAAATCTGAGCCACCTTTTATGCTTCACAGGTTCTAACTAAATCATAAAGAACAAGAGATTAAGCTTCCTGGAATGTCTGGTAATTTTGTTACCATATTTATATTATTATAATGATCAACTGTGTTTCAATTTTCATTTTTGAATTCAGAGGAGAGTTACTAAATCCATTATAAAACTATAAACATGGCTAAATTGTTTGAGGCTGACAGCCACACTAAAAGATAAATTAATTTGTGGCGTCCTAGACAAACAGTTCAGTGAAAACCCAGCATTACACATTAGCACATGATGGGCCTTTTAAAGACACAGCCAGATCTGAAAATTCAATCAGAAAATTTGACAGTTTGTTGTAGCTTTGAGTTTCCTAAAAAAAGCCTACCCTGAAATATCTGAAAGGAAATCTCAATTTAACACACATATTTGCACTATTTCAGTAAATTCATGTGCACTACTACTCCAAGTTCACAGAGAACACAGTAACAAGAGTGGTCAAAGGGGTGTGTCCTGCTGGAGCAGAAACAAGTTTACATGAACTGTTTTTGGGACTGCTGGGAACCACCAGGTGTAAACCCATCACTTTGACACCTCATCTCATCTTAGATTTCTGTCTCAAAATTTAGTTCTGTTAAAAATCTCCACAGCAAACCTAATCAATATATTAAGTAAACAAACACTGCTTTTAACAGTCTCAACAGAAAAAGTAGAAGGATAGGAACTAACACCAGAAGTTGCAGAAGAAAGGTGGTTTTGTTTAAGACTTAGTTTGAAGATGCCATCTTCTGCATGCCAACTCTTGGCAGTCATCAACAAAAATTAATTCTTGCTGTTAACAAGATAAGCAACTTAAGATGTTACTACACTTTCTTCTGGATTTTAACCACCACACATTGCAATAAAACAGTGACAGAAAGAAAACATGATTAACTGATGGCCAATCTAGCTAATGGCTTCGCCTACAAATCAAATCACTACATGTTTATATAATTTCTAGTACCCTCCCGAAGGAACTCAAAAATCTGCTACAGCTGAGAGGCTCTCCTTTTTGCATTTTCCTTTCCCAGCAACTTACTTCATCTCATGATGGTTTTCTCCCTAGACTTCTCCATCAAAGCTACAGTAGTATCTTGCCCATTTTTCCACTTGGTATTAAGAAAATTTAAACAACAGATGGATGAAAAACGTTCATCTAGGCACACAATCTCTTTTTGCTAGTAGCGCAGTAGCATTTCTTTTGGCCTTGACTATGCTGCTCACACCTACGCAGAACACTGCAGCAAATGTGATCTTCCAGACCTGTTCCTTTGACCAGATGTATCTTTATTTTCTTCTTAAGCCATACGAGGTAACACGAGACCCTCACCTATCTCACACTCCTTCCAAATACTGCCTCAAAACTACTACTTTGACACGATGTCTACAACAACTTTGCTATCAGTACTTAGACTATTATGTTGACCAGAATCGCCTAGGTGAATACCACTCCTCTCTGCCTCTGGGACCACCAAACACTGCAGAGTCCATGGTCTGTGTCTGGCCTCGTGGGTTCTGTAACAAATATCTGCATTACTGCATGGAATGGATACTCTACAAAAAAAGTGTATATTAAGAAAGAATAAGCTGCACTGGTTTTAGATGCCAAAGCAAACAAGATTAGTACTCCATAAAGAAAATAACTGAGTTATTTACCACTCTGGAATTCTACCAAGTATTTGATACAACCAAGCTAAAGCTGAGGATTTTAGTATATTTTCATTATAACTTGGTTTTGAGTAATTTGGTCTCAAGACAGCATTGGTTTTTGCAAAGAAAAGATGCAATCTCCAATACCTTTTCTCTACTTCTGGAGTAACACTTCTTAATCATTCCATTTCACAACATGACATTAACAAAAAAAAAAAAAAAAAGAAAAAGCAAGTATTTTGATAACAATCTCTCTGTGCTTAGTGTTTCATAGCAATTTTATGCTTGCAGAGATGCCATGTCATTTTGGACAGAGTATATTTCAAAATGGAAGCCTATCAGGAAGGAATTTAGAGAATCATGCTCCCCAAATGACGAGAAGACAGCTGATACAGACATGGAGAGTGCACTATACTATTGGTTCAGCCTTCCTTACTCCTTTAGTTGGTCAGATGGAACTGGCATTACATTTGAAGTCAACTGAAGCACTCTGTATATGAGGAATCGTAAGTTGCCATGAAGACTGATGAGGAAGAGTCTTCTCCTATGGGAAAATAAAAATAAACAAACCCTGCAAAGAGTCTGCATGTGGCTGTCGGGCGGAGGGGAGGAACAACAGGAAGGAGGAAGAAATCACTACAAATCTGGCATCTTTAAACCAGGAAAACATCAGAGCTCTTGCAATTCCCACAGACTAAACAAGGAATCATACAGTTACTGTGGAAAAGGGAGAAGAGTCAAGCCAATTCTGTTTAGAGAAGGAAGGGGAATACCATGCCAAATGCAACAGGAATTTAATTTGATGAAGGAGAATCTACATTTTAATTTAGCCTTTCCACCACAGGAGAACATGCTAAGGGACATTTTTTGTTCCATGTTTGCTCTTTACCTGGAAATAAGAAACTAAGTTTTTCCCCTGCTCGTCACTAGAGTGATCTTAGTGCTATGTTGGAAAGCCAGTTTACTGTTTGCATTAGCTCACCGCTCAGTGACAGTGGCCATAGTACAACTGAGTTCACCACACTCATGGAAGGAATCCTACCAAAACTAGTACCGTGCTGTTATGTTTCAGAAATGGTGATTAAGACATCACCGGTCCAAAAGATCCTCAATTCAAGAAGAGAGAGGAAATTAAAAGCTGCATGTTTAGCTCCCAGCTGAGTCTGAAAGTTGCAGAAGGTATACATACCACTCCACAAGGAAAGGGAACAGGAAGCCAGGGAAGAAAAGAGTCATTATGTTCAAATGGTAACATTTTCATGAGGTTACACAGGCCAAATGAGCATATCCCAGAAAAATGTGAATCCAAGCCTGGGTAAAGAAACAGAAAGCAGAATAAGTGACAGCAGATAGGGAAAAAAAAAAAAAAAAAAAAAAAGCTTTAGAAGAGCAGAGAGTATCAGATCAGAAAATGTATCAAAACAATAAGAAAAATCGTAAAAGCTGGTACACAAAAATGGGAGGGTGCAATTAAATTTGATACTACCAACTAGATAATAATAGCTGAGAAAGCAAAATTAGGTTTTTTTTGCAAGAGTCTCTCCCACACAGGATGCTGGCAAAAGATAAGTTAGAGATGGCCTAAGATGATCTTTTGGTATGTCAGTCCTGACTGTAGAAGGAAAAAATAAAATTATTAACTAACAGTAAGCCACCATGTCCTCAAGATTTATGATGGAATTGAGGAATGTAAGGGCTGAGCAGAAAACAGAAATGTGTAATGCTTATTAAAGCAAGCTATTCCAGCATAGGTATAAAGTGTTTGTAAATCATGCTATCAGTGACAGAAAAAAGAAAGAATGAAAAAAAATAATCAGTGAACTTCAGTACTATAAAAACTTGTTTAAAACTAGCCATACAGAACCCCTGGCAGTCCTGATGATAGGCATAAAGGAACATAAAGCAAGAAGTGAGAGAGGACACAGTCCTACCCTTCTCCATCTGACCCAAACCCACCATTAAATTTGCCCATGTGTCTTTGAGCATGTCAACTCAGTTGCTCAAAGGAACTTTGTGTAGACTTACTAGAAACTAGTCTATAACAAGGAATTCCAAAGAATCTAGATTTTAATATAAACATATTTACAACCATATACACACAGCCATTCCCCAGCACTGAGGAGATGGAAAAAAACTCAGAGGAGTAGTAGAGGAAAAGAAAAAAAAAGACAAATTATTGTCTCTGTTGATAGAAACAATATTGGATTAAGTTATTGGAAATTAACTACCTTTTAGGTTAATTCTTTATCTTTGGACATGGCTGAATGGCAGAGCTGTATCGACAGACAGGCTACTTCAGTTGACTTGTTTGCACAAACCCACATGCAAATTTGATGCAAGTCAGCAAAACTCAGTCTGAATGGTCTGGGAAAAAACATCTCTCTCTTTAAGGACAAAATCCCTCAGCTGACAAAATGACACCAGTAACAAGACTAGTGCTGACATGCTGTAGGGACTGCAGTTTCATCAGTAGGATGCTCTAGATTCCTACCTGCCCTATACATGACTTTCTGCAGCACCATCTCTTCCAGTGTGGAAGACACTGCCTTCCAGCAATGCAAGCGCTATACAGTGACAGGAGCTCTGCAGAGCTCCAGTTGAACCAGCAGAACCCTTTTACTCTGGGCAGCACTCCAAGAAGATGATCCCGGCATCAGCATGCTACTACACAAAATAAATGTAAAGAACACTCAAAAAACCCAAATGATTTTGAGATTTAAAGTATACAAAAAAAATACAGTGTTATGATTAAAAAGAAGTCAGGAACACCCCCTGAAGAGGAATGGGAGTACTAAATCGAGTTGTAGGTTTAATCAACAACTCCCCCAAGAGCAGTGGGCAGAGGTGACACAAACAATTAACAAGTGAGGAAAATGAGAGCTCCACATGACAACTCAGAAGACACGGTTACCATTTAGATTAATATAAGTAGAGAAGGAAAAAAAAAATCAGACAGGGTAAAAAGTAAATAGACATTACTAGCCATCCATTCTCAAAGCAGAAAAGAGATTTTTCATTTTACCAAGTAAGTAGGACATAAACACTTTCAAGTTTTCAGTAGAATGGGATGATGTTTGCATTTCAGTTTCCTTTGAAAGACCAAGTAATGATGAGAAATCACAAGCATATTCAAACTGATACACCATAAGCTACTAAAAGCACAAAAGTTATCTGCCTACTTCAGATAGCTGTCGGCACTAAAACCACCTACTAAGTGTTCTGTGAATACCACGTATCTGGATCTTCTCAATTCCTTATACCTAGACATAGCCTAAGAAGGCTTACCTGAAAGGCTGTTTTGCTTCACTAGCTAATTAATTGCTCATCCTTATCATATAAAACATCAATAAATAACTTTGAATTAAAGCTTTATGAGATATAAGCTGCTCTGAATGGACTATGCATGTATATATACACCTATGTGCATGTTCACGTATGTATAGATACACAGTTTGTATGTGGGTATATGTGTAGAAAAACAAAACACACACACATATATATATGTCCTACTGCTGTTTTGAAGAAAAAGCATCCTGACAGAACTGAAGTTCTAAACTTGTCAGGTGGCAGACAAGCAAGGGTTTCTAATGGAACATAAAGCTCCTGGAGCTCTAGGAAACCAATCCAAGCCAACATAACTTGAATGCACAGCAGCACACAAACAACAATCTTTTTTTAGCTTGAATCAATGGTTCCAGCATTAATTTCCAGTGGGTAAATCCATGTAATTAATATACTTCTTGATGACTCTGCAGAAGACAAGCTTAGAAAGGAATTCCTCTGAGTTTCAACAACTCCTTTCAGATTGACATGGGCTGCAATGGGCTTACCTGTACTGCAGGACACAGGTAACTCCAACTCAAGACTTTGCTTGTGGGCCAAGCACACAGCAAACCCCCAAACAAGGGCAAAAGGCAGGTCTCTGGAACAAGAGGAAATTATTTTGCTGAAGCAGGTCTGGCTACTAAACCACCAAGCCCATTCCTACCCCCCTCAACAGGCAGACACATGAACAGGAGACAGAGCCCATCATCCCTTTGGCTGCTCCAAGAACTGCTGTTAAAGAGCCTCACACACACTCACACACCCAAACAACAGGGCAGACTGAGGGGGTACACTCCATGGCAGCTTAAAAAAAACCTAAGTCAGGGCTACCGCAGAGCAACCATGTCCCTTATATGCCAGCTCACATGTTAGTTCAGTGAGCTGACTCAAAGAGCTAAATCAGTCACAAACTAACTGTACAAACAAGTAGAATAAACAAACACATAAATAAACCACATCCAAACAATTTTCAGCCATTTTTGGTTTCTGGGTCTAGCTCACTGTGGGATCTAAGAGCCCTTAAAGGAGTGAGTTTGCACTGACGGTAGCTGGGAAGACAAGAAAATACTTGAGTGTTTACTTGGGGTAAAGTAAAAAGAGTTACTTGAGCGTAACTGTGAGCATTTGGTGCTACCTGCCACAGAAATGCATGCTACGTTGCACTAAGTTGAGAGAGCTCCACCACTTTCAGTGGATCCATGCTAATGTCCTCCCATTTCACTTTTACTGCTACTGAACCTATTTATTTTGGACAACAAGGGTAACAGCAAGTTGGGCAGAATGCAGAAGAAAGGAGAGGATAGTCTACAGAGTATTTTACTTCTAAGGTTTGTCTACGTGTCAAAAAGGCAGGTAATTTAAGGTCTGACATGGAATGAACAACCACCTAGAGCCTATGGAACAAACAGTATGATGCACTTCTCATCTGCTTCAAACAAAACATGAACAGGTTAGCTCAAACAGCAGAATAGGCTACTTGTGAGTTCATTCTCTGACTTGGCCTCAAGTGAAATATAAATAGTCATAAAAATTACTCTAAGCAGCAGACTCAGGGCAGCTGCTAGAGGCAGAGGGACTGTGTCAAGCAGCTGGACTCCATAACCTTTTCTGCTAGCACAGCTGGAAAAAGACACTTTATCAATAGCCTTTAGACTACTGTTCTCCTCTTTTGTGTATTTAGGTTAAAGCTCCTTGTGGCACTGACTAGTTGCACTTACAAAGAACTCACACCAATGGCAGTATAGAACATAACCCCAAAACGCTAGAAGGCAAGGAGCAGGGGCCTGGGCAAGCTGGTACATTGGTACCTGCAATGTAGTCAGAGGACATCAGCCTCTTAAACTGGACATACTCTAGAAGCAAACAAAAAATTTGCCAACTTTTTTTTTTTAAGATAAAAGCTTTTCTTCCATCTAGAGTAACTACATATATACCTGATTTTTAAAAAGCCAACAATAAATTAGCAACTCACAACAGAAGTGTTTAGACAGTTCATTTTCCCCGCTCCTCCCCATCCTCTCAGTTGCACTGAAAGACACATCTCTACATGGACTCAGGAGCATGATGTTTACAGCTTGTCTCTGAAACTTACAAATTTCCATCTTGAAGGTATGGTCTGTAGTGCAATGTCTTGAAATCCCCTCATTCTTAAATATTTACAAATGCCTATCCATAAAGACCAAATACACAAACCCACACAATGTTATTCTGCCAACAGCCGCCATGTATTCTAATCCATCATTTCTAGTTTTTAATATGTATCTTGTTACATGAATTATAAACCAAAATACAGACTCAGAAAGACAAAACACACAACTCATTAGTGTTTAACAATCTTCAGAAGATATCTTCTAGATGCTCAAATAGTATTTACTACTAAGAATCCACTGGAAGGTACACCTTTCCCTGTACTTCCTATAACTTGTCATTAGACTTCGTTGAGACAGCCTAACACACAGAAAATAACTCTTTTGTTATCTACAAGCTTAATATTACTAGCCAAAGCAGAATGATCTTATCCTGTTGTCACATTATAACTACATCTTCTGTGATTTAAAAGGTGTTTCATGTGGAATCAATGTAGAACTTCTTTCTCTTTTTAAAAAAAAAACACATTTTTTTCATCTCTTTTGACTTTCTATTTCCCACCCCCCCCCTTTGCTTATCCTATATAGGTATATTTTTCCAATATCTGATCCATACCTTTCCCTTTCCATTATTCTCTCTTCTTTCTCTCCAGTTCTGTTCCTGACACACAGTTCCCTTTTCTAGTATTTTCACAATGACATAAGTTGACCCTAATACCACACAGCTTTTGAAACTGGACACAGAGTTTGAAACTTCATCTCCAGAAAGTGATAGGCCTGAATATTTTTCCACTGTAGTGCAATTTAACCACATTTTGAATAAAAGCAGAAGGATCACAGCTCTGTCCACAAACATGAGAAGATAGTACTGCATTTCATGTTAACCATTTCAACATAAATCAGAACAATTTTTGCAGAATTCTGAATTCAGGGAAGCCTATTTTACTGCTGATGGAGAAGCTGAAAGATGTAGTTGGTTGTTTAATTACTTTACCTTCACTGTGTCCCAAAACAGCTGATCTACTTGACACCCATCCCACTCCACCTGTCCAAAAAAAGTAATGCTATTTCCTACCAATAGGTAGACTTACCCAGCTGTGCTTTGATGTGTAACAATCACCATTTGAAAGGGAGAGACCTTTCAAGGAGGCACTTATGCCTGTAGATTCTTACTTTGTCAACATAAATGGAAAAAAACAGGTAAATAAGTGTTAAATAACTAAGTAAGAATAATGTTTGACTGTATTGAAAAGCAGTATCACCAGTTGGGCCAAGTATTAAACACTCAATAGAAATGCCTTACTTTGGTGGATATAACATGAAGATTTTTGTAAGTGTACTTTATAACTTAGTTAAGCGAACATATATAAAAATGTGCTATTACTGGATACCTACTCCAGTATCAGGCAGGTTCCAGGTCAGGGAAAGCATAATATTAAAATGGTTGTTTGTTTGTTTTTTTTTTTCCTTAGGACCTCTAACATCTATCATATGCTTAAAGTTTTATTTCTTTTTTTTTAAAAACCAAAATTGAATGCATGTCAATACTGAGGTATAACTATTTGCTGAGCATGTACACACAAAAAAAATGAAATGTTCAACATCCCTCTCAAGTTAATCCATAACATAAATTCTTGGCTTTGCAATATTCGAAGACTCAAATCAACGCCGTCTTGATTTTTTTTTTTTTAATTATTCATCAAGCCATGAAACCCATATTCCTGCCAAAGTAGACAGCCTCTTCGAGGAAAAGGGGGAAGAAAAAAAAAACAAAAGAAAAAAAGAAAAAGAGAGGAAAAACCACCATCGAAGGACTTGGCAGCCTTTAAAAATTCCCCAAACAAACACTGCATCTCTCTAAGCTAGCATTTGCTAACAGTGTCACTGTGTTCAGCTTTTTTTGTGTGCCTGCCACTAAGCAGCACATAGGAACAGATAGTCCCAAAGCTTCCTGAAAGGACAAGACCTGAACCTTTAACCTGAATCAGTCCCCGCTTCCCCAGCCACCCACCTCCCCTATTGCATTACCTCCTTATTGTTGACTGAAACAGTAGACAAAGTCAACCACTGAAAAGAACATTCTGCCTATTTTAATGCAAAAATCTTGAAAATCCTCGCCACAGCTCAATTAGAAAGATTAGATGATCATTGGTTGAACCCTCTCAAAATCCTGTAACTAAAAGAAAAAGATTCAGTGTTAAATAGCAGCTGTATTTTCACTTAGCTATGCAGACATTTCATAGCCACTTTGCCATACCGGCTTATGTCTGGGCATTTGAATAAAAATAGCTAATGTGCTTGCTTGTTGCGCCATTAAAGCGCACAAAGGAATTGCCAGTACTCTTTTTGCCCATGAAAGGCAATGGTCATTAATAGTTCGTATTTGCAGAAGGCTGTCAGAGGAACAGCATGCCTGAGCTTCCTCCACAGCTTTCTATAGGTTTAACCATACATGAGGCAGCAGGGGAAAACACACTACACGTTTCCTCGTTCCAGAACAGGTCACACCTGCAGGACAGCTGGCAAGTCCTGCAAGCCTCAGCTGGAGAAAGATTCCAGTCCTGTAATTTTCAGGAGGGCGGAAAGATGTGGGTCTCTTCATGGAAAAAGTGTCTTGGGAAACTGTGCAATGACACCATTAGTATTAGTTACTGGTTTCCCACTTTTTTTTGCTGTCCTAACCAGTATCTTGGAGATTTGCACTTGTATTACTACTTTTTCATCCATTTTATGCTTGAAGAAGTTAAGGTTCTTTCAGTAATATTTTGAGAGGAAACAGGCAATAAATGGGCTACTCATACAATCGAGTTTGGGGTGGATAAACAGATTTTTCAGCCATCTTCAAACAGGTCCACCTGGAAATCACAGCATACAGGCGAAGTGAGCCACACTGAGGAAATAGGCTTTGTCAACTGGATGGCATCCAAGCATGGATCACCTAACAAGCATAACGGAAGACTGAGAAGCTGACAGCATGTTCACAATGTGTCAATCCATGAGAAGTCAGGGATTTTCACCAGCGGGACAAGAGAGCTCACTCCACCGATCAGGAAAAGAATGTATCATGATACATATGCAGATGAAAGGTTACGTGCAAAAAAAAACAAAACAAAAAAAGTCAGATAGTAAGAAATAAACAAGGTAGCAGAGGAAAATACAAGTACAAGCAGCTTTATTTAGCTTGTCTAAATATGCCTTAAATAAGTCTCCTACTAGCCAGGAGAACGTGAAGTTTACCAGCTCTCTTAAGGACGGTGCCCGTTTGCCTTCAGTTGCCGTGTCTTCTCAAGATATGGGACCATGAACCTATAGACCAGTCACTGTTGATTACTTCTCTTCAGTAGTGCCTCAGAGCACTCACTGTGTAAAGCTTGAGAGCTTTTAGGAAATTGAAACGATGTGGGAGCATCCTGGGAGAAAGAAGGTGGTACTGACTCCTGTTGCTATGAGAGGAGACTTGCCATCAGTGCAGAACTCCAAACAGACCATGGTAAGAGCAATTTTCACAGTC